CTAATGTACTGTATTTAGAATTCGAAATCAGGCATTCAACAAGTACAAAGGAGTTATTATTTCATTCAAACACCACACAAAAATAAAATAGAAAATAATTAAGGAAAAAAATTTGTTATTACAGTAAGGTATGATGCTAGAATACTTGTTTGTGCAGTCATAGTTTAGAGTGATGCTATGAAAGTCACAATTCAGTAAAAAAGGATAACGAGATATCAATATGTATGAGTCATATATGCATAGTGAAGATAAAACGAGTCTGAGAAGTTAATTTAAGTGTAATACAAGTTATTGTTTTAATTACAAACTTCGTAACCTTAAGAATAGTATTTATTTAGATAGAAAAAAGAGAGAAAAAAATAAAACAAACACCTAGTGAGATGAAAAAATTCCCTTCAATGCACTCGAATAAATACATGTAGATTTATGCAATAGTATATAGAGTGAAACCGGATATTAATATAAACATTTGCGCAATTATAATTAAGAATGATGTTGTAAAAATCACGATTAATTGCAAAAGATAATCAAACATAAAATTCTATGTGTTATATATATGTATGTGGTGAAGATAAAATGAATCGGAGTTGATTTATTTAAGTGTACCGTGAGATCATTTGTTTTTAGTTATAGACTTTAGATATTTAGGAAAAATATATGTTCGGATGGATAAGAAGAGATGAAAAGAATATCTTATGTGTCGAATGACCAATATTGATATTAATAACGGTAATAATAAGCTATGGCCTGCCTGATGTTGGAAGGTGTAAAATCAATTTTCGATAGGTGTCTGGATGAAGCATTTCTGTCGATTAATTTAAGTATACTCTGAACTGCATATACATCATTGTGTTCGTAGTAGCGGCGTTTTAATTTCCTTAGCTTTCTTTTAAAAGAACTCCGGCTCCTATAAGCATTATAAGCCATATGGCCAATAACTGGAGCAGTGCAGTCAAGGCAGTATATCAGGTTGTGGTATAGATTGGCAAGCGCAATGTCAACATTATTTGTGGTAAAATACGTTTCCCATGGTAAAAATTGAATGAGAGTTTCAGTCCGTTTCCAGGTTTGATGATCAAAACGTCTGCTCTGGTACATCATTGAAGCTTTAGAGTTCAATTGTATGGCTTTTAGAGAATGAATAATACTCAGTACAACTCTATGATCACTCATAAATACTCATGACTGGTATGCACTGAGATAGAGTCTATGTTGATTGTAAACAATAAATGAAGTATATTATTCCCTCTAGTCGGTTCGCGGACCTGTTGAACCCATCCACAAATTTCTAGTGTTTCAAATAGCTTGTTATATCAACCTGGTACCGTAGTCGAACCCCAAGCAATTTTCGGCAGATTAAAATCACCTCCGATGATTTTAAAAGTATGCGGTTAGTGCGAAGCAGTAGAAAATATGTTTGTTAGTAATTTGTCAACCTTAGTATTTGCATGAGATGGTCTGTATATGCATCCCACCAGTAGATAGTTTTGAGATCCACAGTTTACAGTAACCCAAGTGGAGTCATCTATAGCATCAAGAGATTTATCTTCAAGTTTGCACGCCTGAAAGTCTGAACGAACATAGATAATTGTACCGCCTCCTAATCCATAACATCTATCGGTTCGAAAGAAAACGTAGTTATCTACATTCAAGGAGTGATCGGATATAGATGAATTGCACCACGTTTCCGTAATAAGTGTCTATCAATTTACATGTGTGTGCGGAAACACGTGCATAGGGAGGAGCAATCGTGATAACATACCAAAATGACTGCAGAAACAAATGAATTCCAGTGGTCAGATAAGATCACAGGATAGACAGATACCACCCTCAATTCCGAAACATTTTGTTGAGACTGGTCATAATGTTGACATCAAATCAGCATTTGTAGTGTTGTACAAAAGCCTTCAAGGACGTATACTAAGGTTTATTGAAGCCTTGGCTATACGGAAACTGGAACCCCCTATATGTGTTCAAAAATAATTTGTCCTTACACTTAACGTAGCCTGGTAATACTGATTTACTATCCAGATTGGTGATCACACTTGTTTTTGTGTACTTTAATATTTTTCCTTTGTTATGACTTACCCTTAACCGGTCTAGTTGACCTTTAATCTTCATGTATAAGTGTTCTTAACAATTACATGTGTGATCAGATTGTTCGAAATGTATTGCTCAAATATATCTCATAATTTTGATAAACTTCGTCCTCTCATCGCGTTATCGAAATTGATCAAAGGTACTAATTGTTTTAAATAACTGATACTTTATGTTAAAGTCATAGCTCAGGAGCATTGTCGCCCAGTGCAGTAATCTGATAGTAGTATAGACAAGAATTCATTTCTTAGAGACAAAAATTGCAATTAAATTTTTGTTGTCTGTCAGTGCAGTAGACTTACAGCCTCAAAACATTTTACGCCATGTTGTCCTTGGCATCAACATGAGAAAAACACTAACAAATACTAGATAAAACATACGATGTTTTAACATGAAAAATATCAATATGCTAACTAAATGAATTTCAAACAGCCCATAACTTTAGATCAAACTAAAGTTAATCCAATATATACAAACTTAAAGTAATATATGCAAAATCCAACCAGTCATGATCAAATGTACAACATCTAATAATTTATTTGGACGTTATAGGCGAGAGAATGTAGGTCTACTTCAGGATTTTAGAATCACATTATATTTAACATCTATTTGCTCAAATGTCCCTGATGTACAAATGAACTTCAAGTTAAGTGATTCTCCCTCTTATAAAACGATCATTAAACGTAGTCTTAACAGCAGAATCCAACTTGCTTTCGGTATGCCTAATTGCTTGAGCGTTATTAGTACTTGTATTCTCAAGAATGTCTTATCGCAAATCCGATACTCACCACAAAAACGTCCCTAAAACTACTACTGCGGTAATGTACACTATGTTAGTCCATATTTTTTTAATTTGTTAGAGCCTGTCTGATTTAAATACGCCATAAATATTTGTAGTTTAACAACTCCTCAACCAGTAACATCTTCTGTAATCGAAACGTGCCAACTCAGGAAAAGTGTAAGTCAGAAGCGAAGAGGTTTGAAGATATATTTGACGGGCCACTGATATGCTAAGAAGTGATCAATCTATGCTGATCAGCGGTTGTGGATGTGAAACACGGCGTACCCACTCGTGACCTGGAGAGGATGCGTAACCGAGCGCCTACAGTTAGGTGAATCAATTAAAACTAATGTGGTCATCATCAAATGTCAAAGACCTACAGAGCTATTGATTTTAAAGATTTATTTACCGCTACAGATTGATGTGCTTACTGTTTACCAGAAATAATAGTTATTAGGATTGTACATCATTTCAGAGCGCATTACTCTTTAATGCTGCTATCATAGTACTGAAATCACATGGATGATATCCTTGACAGAAACTATGGTCTTTTGATAACCACTATCATGATCTGACTCAATATCGGTCGCAAACAGACGAAAGAAATATTGGAATTTACTAAAGTTTTTGTGTACTATCAGAACCCTCAGATAACGATAATACTAACTAATCGAACATTCACTGAATGCTGAAATATATCGTAATAACTGAAATGTGTAGCCGGACTATTCACAATTATGTGGGATTATCTGTCCTTTTATAAGTGTTCATTAGGAGTCTAGTATTTAGCGTTTTCAAGTGCTCTTCTTTTCACTTAGTAGATGAGTGTTGAGCCTAAGAGTGTAGTTTTCGTTGAATACTTAATTTCAAGAACGTGCATTTATTAATATTCGTCTGCTGTGAATAAGTCGATATAGAATATGTCATCATGTCAAATTAAAAAAATAAATGAAATGCGAGTTAGAACGTGAAATGAAATCCCCAGTGAAAATGTTTCTGTTACATGTCCAACAATGCTTGATAATACACAAATTTGGAACATATAAAGCCGGATCAATAATCGCCACCCCCTTCAAAGTCAGCACTATCGTTTCAAACAAGCATCGTAGATTTTAAGTCGTCATCTAAAATATGATTGCCTGGCTGCTAGACTATACTTAGGTTTACTTGCGTTTGCTTGCCTAGTGTTTTATGTTGTGTATGGGGTGCATTAAATGTCCAAACAAATGATAGTTGTGATACACAGCCAGCAGAATAGACTTTGCGTTGTTGATTCAATAATCCTTGTTTCTAGACAATGAATTGTTAGATGATCTGAATGTAGAGTTAACTATATGAGGTGAAGAAAATTATTTACTTCAAGTATATTTGCATTATGGTATTGTCTGAGGACTTTAGTTTCGTTTTGCTCAAAACAAATAAATTTTATGCCTCTTGACTATATTTTCACTTCACTGGGCTGAAATGAATAAAGACGTGAAGAATTGGACATTCGGCTCGGACTGGTAAGTACAGAATCGAATGGATACATTTGATTACTGATTAACACATATAGACGAGGTCATACTATGCTGTGAAGCTTAAGATTTTAATGATATAATTGCCGAACCTGTTTTACAAGCTATTTTAGTTGAGCAGTGGATTACAAACCATGATACCTTGTAAACGTTTTTGACTGACTGAGTTTTGACATACCTGTTCCGATCCCATTCCCAGTCAAGATATATTTTTTGTCCGAACAATTAGTAGCACAAAAATATTTCCATGTCTTTTCAAAACGTATTCTAGTAGATAAGAACTGACAACCACACAAATAAGTTATTGTACTGTGATCAGAATGAAGCGCGTAGATAGATACTGAGCACTTATCATTTCATATAAGTGTCATATAATTATACAGTATTGCTACACGATACATTAAACCACATTAGAATAAGATTGTTCTTTAATGTGGAAAGTGAGTGGTTGAAAATTTTTTCACGCCAAATTATCAGAGTGATGCAACGCGGAAACTGGATGCTGAAGAAATGCACTAGAAAATGATACTGACTATGAAATTAAAGAAACCAAAAATGTTGGTTTACTAACACACCAATGTATGATTTAGAATAGTTTAATTAAGTAGAAATTACAAATGTATATTCAAGTCAATTCATGTTAATATATGTGATTTTAAATTCAAGTAACAGAGAGAAAGGAGCAACAAAATGTAGCTGGAAAGAAAATGAAATCAGTAATAAAATAATTGTATATTCGTGATATCGCGAACAGTAGAAATTTGGATTGTTGACGTTTCTGATTAAATGTAAGTCACTTCGTCAAATCAAATAAATTAGTTTACAAATTACTTTATGTCAACTCATTACGTGACAGCCATTTCACTAAATGAATCTAAGGGAGTTAATGAGTTAACGATGAGAAATAATTATTCATTTGATTGACAAGTAATCGAGAATTATGAAAAAACTGTTTTTAAGTTTCATCAGAATTTTGAGTTTAGATGCAGTATTAACTCACAAAAATATTTAGTACTTTATGTGCAGATTATAAGGAGTTTCTTAAAATAACGGGAAGACGAAATGTTAGGTGATCAATATAGCATACAGTACGTTTATTCTTGCTTCGAAACGAGAAACATACTTTTTACTAATGCCAGATCAGGTATACGATAACGCACAAATAAAGTGTTCATTTAACAGCATGTAAAGATAAAAATAATCTGAAGAATCCAACAGGCGGCATGTGATTTGAAGAAAATGCTTAGTGAAAATCAATGTACTACAAATATTATCGATAACTAGAATAAAAGTGTATTGAATTCAATTCAATTAACATAAGTTAATTTACAATCAGAGTAGAAAAGGATAATAAGTATAAGGGAGAGATTTCGAATATAGTTAGAAATCAGCAACAGCATACAGAAGTCTAAAATCAAGATATTAAAGACCATTGGAGTGAAAAAAATTGGAAAGATTTAGATAAACTTTCTGTGCTTAATTATCAATTACACAAGTGGAAAATGTAAAATAACGTTGAAAAATCATCTCATGCTTTCTTAAGCTGTTTAATCTATGAATTTAATTACTCTATAATATCAGTAATAAACATTAAAATATGAGAATAAATGATTTTGCTTAAAAAGATTATGTTTCGTAACAGCGAAATTCAGTATTCATATTCAGACATCAAAAATACAAAAAACACAAATTGACTTTTCAAACAAAAAGGATTGAAAATAAGTTAATGAAGCTGTGAATAACATCGACTGAGGTATTTGGAATTTATATTACTTTTGACTAGTTACTGCCTACATCTATAATCAATGTTGGCTGTGACAGGGTCATGGTAGAAGAACGCTAAGGCGAAAGAATCAAGACGTGTTGCCTGTTCCATATTTCTTTGTCCGATAGTCAAGACTATAATGATAGCTGCAGACTGCATGACTGAGGCCAACATGATGAAATAAATCAAAATCAGCTATAGTGGCCAAAAACAACTCACCTTTATTCTCAATTCATACTTTGATTTGCAAAAGTTTTTCATGCATTCCTACTTCATTTTAAAACATATCCATCATATTACGACTAAAACTACTATGATTTTAGTGTTTTTTTTTCTATTAAGAAGTTTATCTTGTTTATTTTAACATAAATTCACGCTTACTACTTTAACTAGGCAGCGAATCCCGACCTAAGGCCTCCTTGTAACGCTGCTGGGTGGTAGGGACAACCTTGCCAGCCAGCTTGAGCAGTCAACGGGGATTGAAATAATCCACCACTTTGCTTTAAACTGAATTCCTCGGATTTCAACTCGGGGCTCACTAAGTCTTGTGAACTGCCAGATATTTATGCTTATGTTTATGAATTGCATTAGTCCCGGCTTGTGTAGTTTGTGTATGTAGGTATATGCATATGGTACGCTCGTGGGTAAGCACAAGCAACACGAGCTGAACAAATGGCTGTTCTATGTCTAATAAAATCAGCGGTCTAATCTTGCGGGTCAAAGACATAGTAATAAATTATATAGCAGTAAATACTGAGGAGAGGTTACTATCAACCTCACCTAAATAGTGCTTATGCTTTTGTGTATGTCATGAAATGCAGGGGCGAAAGCCCTTGTACAAGTGATATTAATATAATATGTGAGAGACAGTGGTAGAAAATACGTTTGAGAGAGAACGACGGTCATCGACTGTACAAGATAAGTGAATATATCTACATATATATTATAGGAAGCATAAGTGAAACCCTATGTGTTACAGGCATGTATATAGACTATATTTGCTCAGGGTAAGTATACTTTACTTGTCCTATCGTGCGACGCCCAGGGGTAACATTTACTCTACGCAATCATACCCACGCGGTGGGTTTGTGGACCTTGAAAACACGGAATCCACTTTCAGAAAAGCCATAGTGACTTTATTAGATAATGCTTGATCAACTTCAAATATCTGGAACACCATCTACTGTAATTGGGTGACTTAATGATAAATTAAATGTAAACTTTGTGTTGATGTTTTAGTGAGAAAGAGGTTTTTTCAACAGCCTATAAGCAAATACCAAATGGGTTCTCTTTACTCAGATTTAAACAACTACTCAGCATCACTAACTTTAGTAAGTAAAAGTGTCTCAGAGCTAAACATATGCATTTATAGTTGGTCGATAAGTGAGCTACACCTTAATATGATACTAAACTTAGTAAAATCACGTCTACGTCTGCTGACAACGAAACGTTTTCCAAGTTGTCAATCATCATTTAAAAACAATAATAAATTGATGAAGTATTCATTATAAAGCGAATTACATGTGAGATCTTATTATAAATAATTAGACTGTATAATTTACGTTTATTTCTAGTAAAAAAATTGAAAATAATCAGATTTTTCAAATATATGACTCTACATGCTTACAAAATTTTTTAATAATCCTATGATTTAATTTGAATAAAATGTTAAGCACATGATTGAAAAGAACATGAGATCAAACAATAACCTACTGTGGTGTTTGTATAAGATAATGTTTCCTTCGTACTTGATGATTGCTCGACTTCGAATTCCAAATACAATATGTTCGTTCGTGCTCGTTTAGTTCTTCATGGTCTAAATTGCTTTATTTCTTGGATTTTTAGTTCGCACAATAATTCAAATACTTCTAATTATCACATCTACACATTACTACATAGCATCAATGTCTACTTCATCCTACTGTTTTTCACTCAACATTTATTCATTTCTTATTTTAAAATATTATTACTACAAGTTTAAATAATACTGAGCACATGTGAAGTATTAATTTGTTCATGTTACCAATTGTTACATAGCACAAACTTCAGGTAGAAGTGAAGTTTGTACCGATGATGTCGTTCAGAAAAACTATGAAAGTTCCAGGACCGAACCGTTCAGCTCAGAGAACAAAACGCCATCAAAATCAATTACCTGAGTTACAAATCTTCTAAACCGTCTCAATCGTTACACGATTCGGTTATACAATAAGTAAATTCTTTTCATTTTTTTCATCATTCGATGATTTCTTTACAACTGTATTGAAATACTTGACGATACATAAATTATCACTTAAAAAAGAACAATATAAATGAATTTCAAAATTCCTGTACAATAATAAATTTGTATACCTTATTATATGAGTCTAAATTATCTAGAAAAAAGTAATAAAATAAACTAGGAGGTTTTACATGAATTGTTAAGTAATTAAAACTCACGTTGAAAAATGTTACACAAAATCAAACAAACTTTAATATATTTAGTCAATTATTAATAAGTAATCTCTTCAAATATTGAATAAAACGATCATCTTGCACAATATCTTCATGTGAACTTTGTTCCAACACAACTACATTAACATTATTCCATTTATTACAGACAGATAAACTTTTTAACGGTACAACGCCATCACCATCACCATATTTTAATTTTGGTATCTGATTGGGGAAGGCAGAACGATGTGGTCCTGGAATATTGAAAATCATCTGTGATATTGTCGGAATCTTAAAACTATAAACACAGTAAACTTCAATATCAGTAGGCCTTTCAGATGGATTAAATACACTTTTAGTTTCTTTCATCATCAAATAACCTAAATGATTAATTAATTGAACAAATAAATATAAAAATTCAAAAAATAGAATGAATTTGTTTAATGAGACTGTCATAAACGTCTCACAAAACATAATACACTTTTAGTTATATATTGAAAATAACTGGAAAACTATTGAAGTTCATTGGGTACTGGATGACCTTTTCCATTTAGTTGATGACTAAATAGTGATGCGTACTCGCAACCTAGTCAAAAGTTGAAACTAGGCCGATGGATCTACAAACCAAATAAATTTAGTACATCTCCCCTATTTACTATAGATAGAATAAATACTACAACTAAATTGAGTTGTAAAGTCATTACGAATGATGTAATAATGTCAAGTGAAGTATTATGTAATATTCAACAAAATTCTAAATGTGACCCCTTTTTTACTAACGTCTCTCTGTAATAACCATTTATATTTTATAACTGAAAAAATTCTGTTAGTGATTATATATGAAAATCAGTGCTAAACTCAGATAATTAAAATAACCTATAATGTCATTGAATAAGAAAAAGAGAATTCAACGAAGAAAATTTTCTCTTCGACGAAATCATTTACTTGAGCTGTACATCCTTCCTATCCTTCTATAGACATACACTTTCCATATAACTATATATACGAATGTACAGCTTAAGGAAATGATTTCGTCGAAAAGAAAATTTTATTCGCTAAATTCTCTTTTTCTTATTTAAACTCAGATACTTTTATGATCATTCGGTAAGTGAATATTTTATTTTAAGGAATGATCAAGGAGACATTTTTCCTGAACCATGCAAGAAGAATTTGTATAATCTCTATTCACTGTTAAATATAAAATGAGGAAATTGATTGAACAATATTTAGACGCTCCCAGTACACTCAATAACATTTTATTTATACCATAAGTAATTACATTTCATTGTTTTTTTTTCCGTAAAATTGTCATTTGATAGATAGGGAAAGTAATACAGATACTCATAAAAAAGTCAAGATTAATAAAAGAATAATTGACCAAGTCAAAATGTGACTATAGATGAATGAACAAACCAGTATGTCCGGATGATAGAAAAACCGATGTGAGCTTGACATAGTTAGAGATATTACAGATCTTTCATCTTCTGCACATACGAAAAAATCGAATGATACTGGTTGGGAGATTCCATGCAAATATCTCCTTGAAAGTAACTAAAGAAGAAGGCGTTAACGTTTGCGGTGACAGTTTATTTGAACGTGTAGGCAGGTGGAGACAAACAATACTACTTGTATAACTGTCGAGAGCGTGATATGTGTGATATATGTTTGGGCTCCTTCATTACTGAATTCTGTTTTGATTGTGTTTGAGATCTGTGGTTGTAAAGTTGTCACACAACAAGGCGATGTCATGTTCAAAATATCTGTGGCATATTTTGGTGCATTTACGAATAACAGATAATCATGTCAATAGACCACTGGTATAGTCTAATTGCCTGTAGCATTTCTAAGGCTACTGCCAGTTGTAAGCTCGGGTAAAGAAGGAGATTTGGTCATGAGGTCGGTAACCTCATGTCGTAGAACACAATCTTTCTAAAAACGCTAATCAGAATAAACGGGTGGTCTAATTGTAAGATAAATTTTCAAAGTGACTAGTATACAAGTGCCTAACGGTATATTTGACTTTTATATTTAATTATATTCTCAATTTAAACTTGAATTTATTCATCGTGACATACACGTCAATATTCATGTTGTTGAAAGGAAATCAAGCATATTCATTTTATGAAACTACTTTGTCTTATCAAAGTAGATCAATTGAGTATATACCAACTTTTATATTGAAAGTCACATTATATTTTCCTTTACAAAATTTCTAAGAAACACTTTATTTGGTGTTTCTGTCGGTCCAAATCACAAGAAATATATAACATACTACATATTTTAGTGGAGTTTTGTTCTCTGAGCTGGATGGTTCGGTCGTGAAGCTTTCATCATTGATCTAAACGATATTATGAGCACAAACGTCAGGTAGAAGTGAAGTCCACATAAAGTTTGTGCTGATGACATCGTTCAGATTAGCCTCACAACTAAACCAACCAGCTTGGAGAGCAAAACTTCACCAAAAGCATCCAGCTTAGCCATAAATCCATTCCACCATCTCAATATCAAATATTTATTTACTTGCCTTGAGGAAAGGAAATATCATTAAAAAATGCTTTCATATCATGGGCTGAATAATTTCTTTTCGGAGTTATAACGAACTTCTCACTTGCTGACCATACACGTGGATCTGGTAGAAGAAATGTCATTGCAGGAAATGATCTTTCAATATCACGAAATGCTAATGGAGAACGAAATGGAACTCCGAAGTTATGACCTGGAAATAGAGTAAAGAATATTCGAAGAGTCCATTATCGTTATTCTTTATCACTTTATTTTATTCAATTTCATTTACTAACTTCAGGATTTAATTACTATTTATAAATCAAATGATTATATAATAAATTTATTCTTATTCATATGATGATCATATATAATTTCAAGTGATGTATTTACTGATCGACTAAAATATTTTAACTACATGAAATGCATTTGTATAGACAGTCTACGAATTTGAATAACTTCCTTGCATAAAAACTGTCGTGTTTTTTAATTTTTATTCTTTACTCGGAGATAAATGTGTTTATTCTCAAATTTTATCATGTCAAAATAAATAAATAATAATCATATTGTGGGGATGGCTTTGGGAGTGACAAATAAACAATTTATGTGTGTAACTGTACTAAAACTATCAAACAACATAAGCTCTCTTCCAACTGTCATAGCTGTAAAACTGATAATATAAACCAGGTTGAATAAATTTCTTACATACATGCTGCATTAAACTTTCACAATTTCTTTAATAACTCAGAAAATAGTTTTATTGTAGATATTTCTTTCCTCATCTAGTCGACTATTTCAGTCATATTCAGGATTTATCTATTTGAATAAATGAAAATATTTACTCGGTAAACCAATCTGTCAGAAGAAATGTAAGAACCTGGCACAAATACACACTGATTACAGTTATTACACCGCATCAGCACAAGATGGATACTAGACCATTATAACTATCACTGGTAATAAGAAAAGACTAAACATTGCGAATATAATCCGAAAAAAAAGAAATGAATCTATAATACAGAAAGTATGTACCCATAATCTATGCGTATTCGACTTAACCTTTCTACAACAACATTGTCTATTTCGTTCCGTTTAACCTAATGTCTTTGAACAAAGGTTATGTTAATCGTAAAGGCACATTCCAAAAAGTCCTGATGAAACAGTTTGACTTGAGTTGACTAGACAATCATAAGCTTGATGAAACAGAACTTGATCTGTCAGTATTGCATTTCTTAAACCTCTAAGACGTATGATAGTTCATATATACTTTTGTAGTTTCACACCAAGGACTGACTTTAGCTAAACAAATGTTAAAAACTTCGAAGTGTTAAGTAGCTGTTTCGTGACAGTATGAGACTTCTAAGCAATGTATATACATGATCACATCAGAGATTGAATCTAGGACATAAAGGAAAATTTGATAGAACTTAAACCTTAGACTGCTGGGTTACAATCCAAATGTTTACATATTTAATCTCATGTGTCCAACACCTCCTACTTTCCAGTAATTTCAAGATAAGTTTAATTTATGACATAAAACATCACATTCAACAATATACACTGGCCTCTTTACTTATCATGTTGTTGTCTCTAGTGAAACACTAAAACAATACAATAAATATTTATGTTCTAAGCATTGTTCTAGTAATTTTTTGACTCACCACAAGTTTCAGCATATAAACTTTCAACAGATCCACCAAAAGGACCTGACACAGATATAAATCCCTTGATATATTTATATTTCCATCTTTTATCTTGCAGTTTTAAAAAATACATTGAGTACAATGATCCTAAACTGTGGCCTAATAAGTAAACTGGACTATTTTCACTATTTTCATAGGTTTCTTCAACTAATTCCTTTAATCTGACGAAATATTTTGCGTTTTCATCTAAAAAAAGAACGGTAAAACTTTGTTTTTCATTCTATTTTAAAATATACTTGGTGCTTTGCGAAAATCATACGGTGCAGAACGTAATGTTTTATTTCGCACAAAAAATTTGTCCTTTGTTAAACTTTGAACAAGTGTTTTCATATAACTTGTTATTGGATATTTCTCTTCAGACAAATATTCACTAGCCCAAGTATCACCCCAACCAGGGAATTCAACATTACACAACTCTCTATCTCTCGTTTTTTTCGTCTTCGGATCATAAATTAATCTGTTTTATATAAATAGAAAATATTGTATAATAATTTATTTTACCCCATGTAAGTGAATAATTTTTCCGGGATAAAAAAATAAAGTAACTTAACCCAAATTGTAAATGGCTTCGTATGTGATTGTTTGTCAGTTGGTTTACATAATGCTTGTGTTCCACCAATTCCATGTATTAGTATAAGAGGATATCGAATGTTTTCATCTCTGACTTTTTCCAAAGCTATACCATTCAAATTATATGAAGATAATGTAAATGCACCATGTAATAAAACTAACTATTATAAATTACAATAATATAAACTAAATTTACCATTAGTTTAATAAATCTCATCATATTAGTCACTATTTAAATCTCTATTCATAGTTGTACATTGTTTCTTTGACTATTATTTAAACAATTAAGATCATTTAATATATACCTTAATTTTATTGTCAATCTTTTCAAATTATATCAGACATGATTTGGTTATGTAGGCGATTAAATATTTAATGATGAATAGCTAAACTCATATCATCATATAATTAACGAATCAAAAATAAATTTGTCAAATCTTAAAATTAAATAAAAATTGCCTTAAACTATTATTATTATTATTATTATTATTATTATTATTGTTATTGTTATTATCATGTGAAATTAATGTAAACATACGGATCATTAGAAAGTTGATCTGATTAACATATGATTAAATAATATGAATTTCTTATTTAGTATTTAACAGTTTATATGTATTTTATCTAATCAGATCAACATATAGGTTACTTAGTTTACTATAAATTCCATACATTGAGTAATAATGATAAAATATGATTGACAACAATATAAATAGATTTATATTGATTATTAAATACAGTATTTTTTTTCTTAATTGGTAATGAAACAGTTTTATTATTAAGTAATGATAACCCTTGAATTAAATAAATAAATACATATTATTCTCTTACGATTAATATAATTGGGATGATAGAAAATAAAAAGTAGATTTTTCAAATATAATCTTGTTTCTGAATATACTTATAAGATAAGAGAAACACTTCCAACTGAACGTAATTATTTGTACGCTTTTTTATATTCTATTTAAATCTTACATCCATATTCTATAGTATTAGTTTAGAAAATAAAAACAGTTCAGTAAGGGAAATTCCCTTTTGTTTACCAAATTTGTACAATTGTAATTACAGTTGTTGTATATATAATAGACCATAACAACATTTCAGGATCTTGAGTCATTAACTATGTTACCAAAACTTTATCAATACTTCTTCTTCAGCTATGAGGTTCAAGTTATGTAGTAGTTGAAGGTTCAATAATAATGTCAAACCATCCAGCTCAGAGAACAAAACTCCATCGAAATAATAAAGTCAGAATAATACATGGAAGTAAGATGTGAAAGATAGTTGTTTACATGTTAATAACAACTTCTGAAATAATAATTGGGTTGTAGCTTAATCTGAGGTTGTGTAAAAGATAAATAGTGACGATGGGTCTCTATCCGTGATATGGTGACATGTATATTCAATGATTTTTGTAACGACAAAATAAAAATCACATTTTTTCTCTAGTTTGTCACACGTTATATGTAACCACATTTTTATTTATTATCTATTGTTTTTCTGTATCGGTTGTTATTAAAAAAGGATTGTAATTGTTTGGATATACATATACGAGTTTTCTACCGCATTGGTTGAAATATAAACACTATCTCCGCCGTCTGTTCTTCTGCCTCATTCGCCACGGCCTTTGATTGAGGATTATAGCAGTGTTACAACACCCTTTTAGGCATTCCCACACTGCGTTGGAATTTCGGCCCGGATCATTATTCAATAATACTATTGGATTCAATCTTTCTCATTACGCCGTTGGTTCTACCACGTGCAGAGGAATCTTCGTTAATCAAGTGAACTCATTTGTGGTTGTTATCTCAGAGAGCAGCTTACAAGTAACATTCATTTGATAACAACCGTTATTATCTTGTTGTTTAATATACCATTTGTATTGTAACTGTAATTTGTTACCTTTTGCTTTACTCAGACAGACATCTAGGTTTTGATGTAATCTCTTTTTGGTATATTATTGACAACCTTGCGTATTGTTATATTTTGAATAAGCTTTTTGATAGAATCCACCACAGTGACTACATGTTCACTAGCTTTTTTTGAACAGACAACGTCGACTTCACTAAGAGCGGTTATTTAAAACTTATACGTGATCAGTACTCTTCTTCGTTATCTGAAGGCGAATTGAAGATATTCAACAGCTCCACTTCTGGACACCTGTTCAGTTCATATCAGACATACCATCTGGAATTGTTTGTTAAAATATTTGATAACGTCAAGAAAACTGACTCTAAGGGAGTGGGTCTATACCATAAACATTAGCAACTTATTAGTTTAATCCTGATCTCTATGTTTGGAAATTAAATGTCTTATCTCTTATTTCACTGTGATCCTAACTCACCAATTTTTTAAGTTGTCATTTCCATATCCATGCTTCTGATTTCGCTCCATCGATCTTGCCCCGCGCTCGTTTCAAAAAGGGGAGTGATTTTTGTACTGGTTGTGATTATCATTGCTTCGTGTACTAGTTGCAGCAGAAAGCATTCTTGGTCTACTTTAACTAAAAGTACTTTGGTTAAGGTTTGAAATTTTCTCCAAACTTTGTCCTGTGGTACCTTTCTTGCTTACTCATTGACTGACACTCGTGTTCACGTTGTGATCATAGTGTGTTTTAAACGTTTTAAGTCAAGTTACGATGGTGAGTAAGACTTATAAATGTGGACAACCAAACTGCTTGTTCCCCGTTGAGCAAGGAATGCAGTGCGGTGAATGTAAAAAGTGGCACCATAAGATGTGAACACGTCTAAGTCCTACGGCATACAAAAGATGCTCGAAGCCAAACCCGCAGTGGCTTTGTATGTTTTGCTGTACAAATAAAAAGCTACTAATCCAAGAGGCTATGAGCCTATTGGCTTTGGCCTGTAAGAAAAACGATGGCGGTTGTCCTGACACCACGAGCACTGACAGTGAAGAATGTGTCAGTGTAGTAAGTGCTGCTACCGGACCCGTTAAACACCCGATTGTGATTGATGGAAAAGTAAAAACACCGTTAACGTTAACGAGGAGTGAAGTGCCGCTTGATATTGACATCGGAAATCATACACCTTTAGTGAAATCGAAGACCTGGATAACACTGTCATCGTTCCAAATAGTCCCAGTGTGGCTGTCCTGAGTGAGGATAAATGGACTCCAGCACGAATAAAAATAAATGAGAAGAAAAAAGCTGTAGACAAACCGCAGCTGGTTAGCAAGTCGTTGGAAGAGACGGTATCAGAAACAAAAATTCCACTGAGTGTCAAGACAGATCTCTCTGAGAAGTCAGTCATTTTTCATAAGTTAACAGAATCTTCCGATAAGGAACCAAAGGCTAGATTTGAACACCACTTCAGTCACATTAAATCTTTAATAAGCAAACTACTCCCAGATACAGTTTCAGGAGTTAGCATTTGTAAGCTTTATAGAATAGGACGAAAGGTGGATTCTGAAAGCCCTCAGAAAAACCGCCTCTTGAAGGTTACATTTGCCACGGTTGAAGAAAGGAACCTGATTTTAGGTAACTCACGTAAACTGATTGGATCCGGAATGTATTTCCGTGAGGATCTCAGCCTAGCTGATCGTATTAAGAGACGAGCTGCAGAAGTGGAAATAAATGAGCGTCTTCGAAACGGTGAAAGAAACCCCATTCTTAAGGGTTTTTAAATTGTAAAAGTTCGGAGCAAAACGATCCCCAAACCACTCTGGGTGGTAAGGGAAAGTTCTCCACAGACTTAAAGGTATGTTACACAAATGCTCGCAGCCTACTAAATAAAATGGTGGAGCTTAAGTCAATGGTGGATAAAACTAAACCGGATGTTATCGCTGTCTCAGAAACTTGGTTAACGTCGGAAGTATTAGATAATCAAATTCACTTGTCTGGTTTTTTATCCAGTAGGGCTGATAGATTAAATCGTAGGGGAGGCAGGGTAATCCTGTACACGAAAAGCACCTTAACTATAAGAGTAGCTGAGACAGTAGCACATATTTCAGGAACATGTGAATTGATGCGATGTAGGCTGAAATTTAGATGGCAAGATATTAAATTAGTTGTAGTATATCGCAGTCCAGAATGCGTGGTAGATGATTTTCTCCTAAGTAAACTTGTAGTAGGCGACTTTAACGCACCGTATATAAACAGGGTTAACTTAGAAGTCGGGTCATCGATAACGCCGTTCGCCTGCAAACTGTTATAAACTTCGATTGCCTTAGCTTTGTTCCAACACATTAGAACTCCCACAATATATGACTTAAGAAACTCCCTCTTTTAGATTGTCTTCACACACGGTGATGACGTTGGTCAAATGAATTTCCTCCCACCGCTAGGTAAAAGTGACCACGCAGTCATCTTATTCAAATTCGTGCCTGTCAAACAGTTGCGCGGCCAGTCCTAACATATGGAAGGCAGATATGGAGGCCATCAACTCCGCAGCATCGACTGAAAACTAGGAAATCGACTCATTGGTATCAGTACAAGAGGCATGGACGCATTTCAGGCAGTTATACAACAGGGTAACTCAACCATACATACCATGGACAGTCTCAAAGAAGAAGAAACACGGACATCCCTGGATAGGCAGGGATATTCGACGTTTACTAAGACAATAGGAGAAATGTTGGGATGTCGCCATCCGCCTTGGCACAGCAGGTACGATGGAACGCTACAGATCGGTAAGAAACAAGTGTATAACAAAAATTCGAGAAGCTCAAAGAAAATATGAAATGCAGTCGGCACAATCCGCACTCAAGCAGCCCAAGAGGATATTCTCGCACATAAACTACAGAACAAGGATGCATCATTGGATTCCAAATCTAATTAAAGAAGGGAGTGAATCTGAAATGATAGAGGAAGATCAGGACAAAGCAGAGGCTATGGCTGACTATTTTGGGGCAGTTTTTACTCAGGAACATCCTTTGGACAAAGAACCAGAACAAAACTAAGAGTCGATAAACCACCTGCTCACCGTGGACTTCGACCAAGACGATGTGCTTAAGGCTCTTAGCACCTTAAACATGAAAAAGTCAACACGACCAGACGAACTACACTCTAAAATCTTGAGACATATTGCACAGTACATCGCGGCCCCACTGACTGTAATATTCAATATGTCACTTGATCAAGGTGTATTACCTATGGACTAAAAGGACGCAATCGTCACTTCCATACATAAAACAGGACCAAGACAAGTTCCATCGAACTACAGACCTGTAAGCCTCACAAGCGTTGTATTTAAAATATTCGAAAGAATAGTCAAACGGACAATAGTGGAATTTATTGAAACAAATAACTTGTTAAACATAGTACAACATGGTTTTAGAAAGGGTTTATCCTGTACAACAAACCCTGCTTTTAGCAAGGGAATTTCGGATAAAGGCGCTAGACAACGGAAACTTAGTGGATTTTGTCTACATAGACTTCAGTAAGGCTTTTGACAAGGTGCCAACAAATAGACTCTT